TACATATATATATATATATATATATATATTTACATATATATATATATATATATATATATATATATATATATATATATATATATATATATATATATATATATCAAGAGCCAGCCCCCAAAAATCTTCATTTATAAATATCAAGAAATCATAAATCTTCAAAGTAAATAAATTATATTTTTACGTTTCGGGGACAAGCCCCTTCTTCAGAATAACGCTACATCATCTCCGTCTCTTGCTTAAATAGTCTAACGTTTAGCTATGCATAAATTAATTAAACCTCTTCCCTTAAATTAAGCCCACGTGGGACATAACTATTTAGTTTCTCAATCCAAAAGCTCTCCCTCTCAGTGGGGTTATTATATATATATATATATATATATATATATATATATATATATATATATATATATATATATATATATATATATATATATATATATATATATATATATATATATATATACAGGGTGTATCAAAATAAACGCAATTCATCTTTTGTGCTTAATAACTTTCGAAATACTATTTCTAGTTAAACGCTTTTAGGCTTACTTTAAAGCCTGTTCTTTTCTCTATCAAACAAACTATTATCCTTGTCTCCAATGCTAGTAATAATTGCACAGGAAAAGATTTAGTAAAACCTATCATTTTTAGTTGCTGCTTAATTATGCAAGTTTACTATGTTATTGCTTAGTCGGTTTAAATGTTAGAATTTTCTTCTTTAAACTTTAATGTTGTCGTCACTACATCTGGAAAACCACGTAAGAAGAAATTAAAAGTATTTTAAAAGAGACCAGGTTGTTTGAAAATCCTAAACGAATGCTAAAAATCGTCAAAACATTCTGGTGTCTGAGGAGTGTCATCGAATTGCGATGTAATGTAAACAGAAATTATAGCAAGTTGATGTCAATCACCTTAGATGGTCCAAGCCAAAATTATATCGCATTTGAAGTTTCAAATTGAGTTAAAAATAGTGGAAGAAAAGCCGTAATTATACTTATTGTTACAATCCATTTAATAAAATGCAACATTTTTTTGTTTCAATGAAAAAATCGGTTATTTTCATGATAACGATTTGTTATTCCATCTCAATTTTTTTAATCTCCAATCGCAATAACGTAAAGTATTATTACCCGCGAACCAATGAGTCAAATTTAAGAAACAACCCACTGTTAGAAAGCTGAATGGCTACGCTTTAAAATGAATGTAAACCTTAACGTTTTCGTCTATTAGCCTATTTGTTTAGCAATTTACATTTCAGTCGAGGATTGCGCTTTTTTTTATACACCCTGTATATATATATATATATATATATATATATATATATATATATATATATATATATATATATATATATATATATATATATATATATATATATATAATATATATATATATATATATATATATATATATATATATGTAGTGGTTTTTTGAGTTGTTTTCATACGAGTGTATACCAAACCGGGCAAGCAGAAAATTCTACTTGACCGCGGCTAGAAAATTCTACTTGACCGCGACTAATAGCTGGCTTTACGCATTGAAGGACTAACCTCCGAAATGCAACGAACATCATAACTTAACAAGTCGTTCTCAGCTTGACCTTGTAGCTCAGACGGTAGAGCATCGTTCTAGAAATACGAAGGTCGCGGGTTCGAATCCCAGCCGCGGTCAAGTAGAATTTTCTGCTTGCCCGGTTTGGTATACACTCGTATGAAAACAACTCAAAAACCACTACATAACGTTACACGAGTGGAATCGTAAACGTGGGAAACCACAACATTCACATACAACATTGCCAGACTAATAGCTGGCTTTACGCAATGAAGGACTAACCTCCGAAATGCAACTAACATCATAACTTAACAAGTCGTTCTCAGCTTGACCTTGTAGCTCAGACGGTAGAGCATCGTTCTAGAAATACGAAGGTCGCGGGTTCGAATCCCAGCCGCGGCAAGTAGAATTTTCTGCTTGCCCGGTTTGGTATACACTCGTATGAAAACAACTCAAAAACCACTACATAACGTTACACGAGTGGAATCGTAAACGTGGGAAACCACAACATTCATATATATATATATATATATATATATATATATATATATATATATATATATATATATATATATATATATATATATATATATATATATATATATATATATATATATATATATATATATATATATATATATATATATATATATATAAAATAGTTTGTGTTAGGTTATAAAAACCAATGATAGAGTGCTCAATGGGTAACCAGAGCATAATAGAAAGACACAAAAACTTAGCAAGCTTTGTTTGGCATATTTATTACTATACAGTTTAGTTACGCGGTATATATAGGTATATATATATATATATATATATATATATATATATATATATATATATATATATATATATATATATATATATATATATATATATATATTATTAGATAGATAGATATAGATAGATATAGATAGATATAGATATTATTATTTTATTATTATTATTTTTAATTTTTTTATGGATTGTGATTTAAATGTTTTGACCTTTCGACTCCGTACTTCGAGCCTTGATCAGAAAACAAAATAATTAATCCAAAATTATTAATTCAACAATTATCAATTATTATTATTAATAATTAATGATTAATCCTATAATTATTACAATACAGATTAGAAGACAAACTTGAATTACTTCATATGAACTTTATTTCACTACAAATTTGTTTCATTTGACAAGGCGAGTCTTGCCACACTCATCAGGTGAATTTAAATAAAAATTAAAATAATAATAATATAAATATTATAATTATTATTATAATTATATTAATAATAAAAAAAAATAATAATATAATAATAATCATAATAAGAATAATAATAATAATTATATTATTATTATTATTTTTAATATTATTATTTTTTTTATTATTAATATAATTATAATAATAACTATAATATTTATATTATTATTATTATTATTAAAAAAAAATTACCTTACAAATTGTGAATTACCTTATATAAGTGAGATTTACAATTGTATGTAACTTAAAAAAAATCATTAATAAAGTTTCCATTATTATTATTTATTATAATAATAATAATAATAATAATAATATTAATTTTGATTAATTTAAATTCACCTGATGAGTGTGGCAAGACTCGTCTTGTCATACGAAACAAATTTGTAGTGAAATAAAGTTCATATTAAGTAATTCAAGTTTGTCTTCTAATCTAATCTAATCTTATCAACTCTACTACGGTATTGAGTACTCTACTCATATATGATTCCATACTCGATACTTGTTTATATATATATATATATATATATATATATATATATATATATATTACAAATTATGTTGTTCTCTGGATTGTAATTTAAATGTTTTGAGCTTTCGACTTGGTACTAATCCTTGGACAAAATAATTAATCCAAAATTATTAATTCAACAATTATCAATTATTATTATTAATAATTAATGATTAATCCAATAATTATTACAATCCAGAGAACAAAATAATTTGTACAATTATTCAATTAATCATATCCCTGGATTACAATAAAACAACATAAGTGGCTGCAATATATATATATATATATATTCTGTCCAATGACAGGTGCCAAGATGATGAAACCAGACAGAAACACATGAGTGAACGACCCATGCATTGCATTCTGGTAGATTCCTCGGTCCGGTCGATCAGAGCAAAGTATAAGGGACTCAGCTCGTCATCCCTGCAAAAGTGCCATTACTTTTACCTAAGCACGCCAAAATTCTCCCCCCCAACACTGTCCACTGCCATTCCAACTACTGTCCAGGCACTAACCACCGCCTACATGAAGCGTTACACAAAATCGTTCGACGTGACAGAGCCCTGCCCCAAATCCTGGTCTGCAAACGAAGCCCCCTTGGACGTGTGTACCACAATAGTTCCAGTGCCAAAACAGAATGTACACCTCTTCGACGGGGACGGCGGGGAGATTTTTGTCGGGGAAGACGACGAGGAGCTTCTGAAAGAAATGTGCACCCACCCGCAAACCATCCGTTTCAGATTTCCATTATGTGATGCGCCCGAGATTCGAACGGCATTCAAGTTTAAAAAACGCCGCGGTGACCTGTTTACGAGCGTGGGCACAGTCGAAGTTGGCATGGAGGCAATGAGAATGGCGCGGAAACTCCTTTTCGAAGCAACAAGCACCAACCTGCTCGTCAGAACACACGAAAAAGGAGGGGACCAAGGCGTCACGCCCGTGGTCGAAATCGATTCCCCTCGTTATGGGCGTGTCTTGTGCGAACTGCTTGTTGAGAGAGACGTGGACACAGACGAGGGACAATTTGTTTTTTTTTCAGCGTTGTTGGCTGAAGAAGGCTACATGTTCCCAAGTTTCAAGTACGGTATCGAAGATCGTATTAAATCCGGCATGGACAATGCCAGAAAGCATGGTAAAGGAATGTTTCGACTCCCAGACGAGACCAGGCAGCAGGGATTTTTGCCTTGGGACATAAAAGACGGGCAGACTGCCAGCGAACCGATTCTGATCCGAAATGTCAACATCAACCAACCCGAGGCCCTCTGGTTCGGCAAAGCAGGCACAGACTCGACAGCGGACAGCAACGACAGATACTACGTTGAACTCGCTGAATCGAAGGAGTGGCTCGAGGCCAGCTGCTTCGTGAAAGAGAGCACTATCCCGGGCGCCGGACTGGGATTATTTCTAAAACCACATCCACCCATACCGAAAGGTCAGTTTGTCTGCCTCTATGCCACTCGTTCCACAACGCAGGAGGCTATGGATGCCACCGGTAGCTCAAGGGATTATGCCATCCTAACAGGAAAGGCAAAACTTTGGTTCGATGCCGAAAAGCAGGACGGTGTGTGCCTTGGAAGGTTTGCCAACCAATTGCATGTGCGCGAGTCGTTGGCGGAAGTTCGTGAGCGCAGTCGAAAGAGCATATTTCCCGAAATGCGAGAGGAAGACTGGAAGAAAATCAACGATGCTGATGCCCAAAGAGCAACTTTGGTGTACGAGCAAAGGAAGGAACAGCTTGTCCTCGTCACAGCAAAAGACATCCCAAGAGCGGCGGAGTCCCACGAGTTATTTGCCCACTACGGCGACCTGCGTGAATACTGGCTTCCGCTTATACGTCGCAAGCCGGACAGCTTCCCAGAAGATATGACCAGCATTGTCAGCTGGTTAATGGACTCGGAAGAGACCAATTGGTCACAACAGCAAAAGCAGAACTGGTTTGGTCTACACAATAATTAATTGCACTAATGTCATTTAAATGAACATGGCCTGTCGAACAGTTCACATTATATTCAAGTGTACATCAGAAGGTTTTTAAAGTTCATAATTCTTATGTACTTTTGATAATGGTTCGTATTAAAAATCAAATTGTCAACTAATTGCCTTTGTGTGAATAACTTGATAGGATGACTATCAGTATTTATTCAATTCTATGACATAATACGGAACTGGTGCATTGCAAATCAAAAAGTGAAAGAAAACACAGAATATCAAACCTTCCGTATTATACTATGATAGGATTGAATAAGTATTCATAGTATCAGGAAGTTATATTATGAGCTTTCAAAACTGGAGATCAAAAGCAGTAGCAATCACTCCAGTCCACCCCAGCTTTATAGATCAGTATCTACCTCACTTTTTCAATACGGCTCAAACTAAAGGCATATCGGCAATAAAAATTTAGTTTGTTCGTCATATTTGAAGGGACTTTTGAAATGTTGTGAAAAACTATTATATCCGCAAACATGCTTTTGACGTCACTATGGCTATAAGGATTAATGAATTAAAGATGGCCATTTAACATTTTTCTGTGATCAAAATACTAAATTGAAGAAATATTAAAATGCGGCAATCCCGTACAAACAAGTTTAGTTAATGTGTATAGTAATTTTAAAAGTCCTATCATGAGACAAACTTTTTCCATTGCCATTTACCAAATATTATTAAG